CGGGCTGGGGATTCGAACCCGCCACCTTAGGTGTACGTGGCTGGTGCCTTAGCTGGTTGAGCTATAGGCGCTGAGCCAAGAACCCATCATTTTAAAAATAGCAAGTATATACTACAATAGATAGGTCTCCCATTTATTCTAATTGGTCAACCAATTAAACAAAAAATATCTTGATATCTATTGTTATTATAGTTTTATATTGATGGCAGTTATATTTTAATATGTATTTTAAAGAATTAGGAGTCAGTGAGAATTACATCAATATCAGAAGAGCCCCTTTCAATGACGATTGCTTGAACCCGAGGAGTTTGAGGTTGCTGTGAGCTACAATGCCATGGTATTCTACCCAGAGTAACACAGTAAGACTCTTGTCTTAAAAAAAAAAGAGGCCAGAGAGGCCAGGTACAGTGGCACGCACCTATAATCCTAGCACTCTGGGAGGCTGAGGCAGGTAGATTGCTTGAGCTTGCAAATCCTAGACTAGTCTATGCAAGAGTGAGACACCATCTCTAATAAAAATAGAAAAAAAAGCTGAGGCAAGATGATTTCTTGAGCCCAAGAATTCAAGGTTGCTGTGAGCTATGATGACACCACAGCACTCTACCCAGGGTGACAAAGTGAGACTGTCTCCAAAAAAAAAAAGTTTATAAAAAAAAGAAGCCAGAGGAAACATGTATATAAGGCAAATAGGAAAATTCGCAGTCATACGTGTGCTTGCTCACCAGAAGCAACAATGCTATCCAGAAGCAGAACTTGCTTCTCTAACAGTAGATTCAGTCATACTAACTTTAACAAATCTATGATAGTCAAGGCATTATATGCTGCAGACACATAAACATGATTCCTGATCTCAAACACCTCATAGTTTAGCAGTTGAAATAAACACAATGCTAACAGAGTAACTCAAAAACAGTCCATAGAACACTGAAACAACCTGCTGACTCAGTCTACAGTCAATCTAGTTGTATTACCAATACCACTCTAACAAAGCACATGTCAATCAACTAAAAACCAATGATTTTAAGTTATTCTAAGCATAAGAATGATAAAACCTAAAAGTAAAGCCTTAATAACAAGCAGAAGTCAATTTAAATATTACATTCCATAAATAAAACTAGATAGAAGTTTATTTCTATTACACAAAATATTAAAATACAACTTTTTTTTTTTTTTTTGAGACAGAGCCTCAAGCTGTCCCCCTGGATAGAGTGCCCTGGTATTACAGCTCACAGCAACCTCCAACTCTTGAGCTCAAGCGAGTCTACTGCCTCAGCCTCCCAAGTAGCTAGGACCACAGGTGCCCGCCACAGCACTCAGCTATTTTTTGGTTGTAGCCGTCATTGTTGATTTGGCACCTGGGCTGGATTCAAACCTGCCACCTTAGGTGTATGTGGCTGGCGCCTTAGCCACTTGAGCTACAGGTGCTGAGCCAAAATACGACATATTTAAAACTCACTTTTGTTCCTGGAGGCAATCCCTCTAGTTCCTTAGGCTTTATAAATGTACGATGCTGTGCCTTATGATCCATTTTCTCCTTGCAGGTCAAAAATTGTAGTCTGCATTTTGTGCAACGATGAATTCCTTTTTTCTGTTTACAGAGAATATTAGAAATAATAACTTCTACCACCACAAATCCTGGGACCTGAAATTGTTCTTTTTTTTTTTCCTGAAATTGTCCTTAATTCCAATATCTAAATAATTTAAAATAACAATGTTTTATCATCTCCCACCACAGATAATACAAAAATATTTCACTTCTAAGAAGCACTCTTTACATTAGTATTTGAGTTTCCAAGGTATGTTACCAAGTAAGTATCTAACATGAAAAATCTTATCAATTAGGTTCTAAATGGAAGTCCTATACTGATTATAGAAGAATAAATGAGAAATGATTACAATCAACTGCTTGAGAACCCCTTGACTGAGTCCTATTCCAAACCTACTATTATTTTATCAATGGAAAATAGAACCTAAGAGAAATTTAAGTCACTTGCCTATAGCTGGTAATATTCTTTCTATTCTACGTTATCAATGGCAATATTTATGTATATATGCTCATTAATTAGAAATGTATTTTATATGTAAATTTAGAACATGTACAAACACAAAAGAATGTCTTCTTTATATGTGTATCTCCATAAGCATCACTATTTCCATATCAAACACAATCATTCAGGAAAACCAAATGAGATAACATATATGAAAGAACCTAGAACAGTTACTGGCATACAGTAGACATTTGATGAATAAAAGTTTTTCATAAAGTTCAAAGCAATATATAAACATAATGTGTTTGTATTACTATTTTAGTTTCATCTTCAGACTATTTTACAAGTGTACTGCATTGGATCATACATATCATACGTACAGTCAACATAAATACACATGCTCAAGAAATAGGGGGAAAGAGAGGCAAGACTTAACCAAGACACAGAGAGCAAGTTAACAGGACAGAATTCTCCAGAGTACAGTTCCTAGAAATCTTCTCTACCTATACCTATTACCTCATCCAGTTTCATGACTTTAAACAACATCCATCCAATTGCCTACTCGACATCTCTGCTTGGTGTCTAACAGGCATTTCAAATCAACATGGACAAAATTAAACTCTAGATTCCTATCCATCCACCCTGAGTGGGGAAGGGCACAAAATCTGTTCCTTTCCTAGTCTTCTAAATATCTCAGTATTTGGAACCTCCGTTCTTGCAGCTGATCAGGACAGAAAAAAAAATTAAAACAAAAACTTGGTCACTGTTATCTGTTCTCTTTCTCTTATACCCCACATTCAATCCATTATTAACATATGTCAGCAATACCTTAAAAATTTATAATCTTTCCACTTCTCACCTCACTGCTACCATCACTGTTTAAGCCTGGTATGAGACTTCTTATAATAGCCTCCTATCTTCTTCCTATTTCTACCTTCCCCCCTTACAGTCTGTTCTTCCCATAGCTGTCATAGTGACCTTAAAATGTCATGTATCTTCCACATACTTAATCCCTTAATAACACTCCAGAATCCTAGCTCTGGCTTATAAGACCCTCTGCAATCTGGCCTGCATGCTACTGCTATAAAACTCATCTCCTACTATTTTTCCTCCCACTTGTTTACTGTGCTTCGGCCACACTGGCATCCTTGCTGTTCCCTGAATGACCCGGGTATATGCACACCTCACTGCCTACTTACTGTTCCCTCTGCCTAGAACAGCAGTTCTCAACCTGGGGTCGCGACCCACAGGAACTGTATTAAAGGGTCGTGGCATTAGGAAAGTTGAGAACCAGTGTCCTAGAACACTGTCTCACAGAAAATTACATGGCTTATTCCCTTATTCCCTAAGAGGCCCTCTTTGCCCACCCCACAGAAAAATCAGAAACTACTCCTTTACCTGAGCCCTGGCACTCCCTATCCACCTGTATTTTCTTCCCAAAATACTTACCCACCAGCTGGCATATACATATATATGTGTGTATATATACATTCAGACATCAGAAAGACATACATATACACACTATCTTTTTCTACCATAATATAAATTCCAGAGGGCACAAACTTTGCTTTGCTTATTTCTGTATCCCCAATATCTAAAACAGTCCTTGACATATATTAGGCACTCAATATTTGTTAAAGAAATAGTGAGGCAGACAGCAAGAGACTGACAACACACACGAGCAACAGTCACAATTTAACTAGTGTAAAATGTGTGCCATTTCATTCAAGAAGCATTTTTTTTTTGGTATAATATGATGTTCAACTAAAGAAGGAGTGATTTATTCCAAGCGTAGAGAAAAAAGTGTGTTGAACTTTTTCAGAAACATTGAACGATCTGAAGAATTTTCAAGGGTAATTCTGACTATAATTTCTGCCTTTAGACCTAGTATCAATGTAGAATATGAGTCTGTGGTAAAAGCTTAGGCTCTTAAGTCTATTTTTGGCACTGCCACTTATTAAGAAATATGTCACTGGGCAAGTTACATAAGGTTTATATTCTCTATAAACCTTTCTTCATATATAAAATGGAAACAATAGTATACCTGCTTCACAGGGTGATTGTGAGGATTAAATAAGATAATGCATTAAAAACACAAGTAATTGTCAAATGGCAAGTGAGTAGTTTATGTTACCTACTTACTGTCATTATTAAAGAAGCTAATGAGAATATTTAACACATCTGGGCTCTTTCATGCTTCCTTAAAAGTTGTACAAACTGACTGCTAGCTCTAAAATCACTCAAGACATGATATATTACTTTTAGGAAAATGTTGTAACCAAAGTCTTCAAAAAAAATAAAATGAACCATGCAGTCAACAAATTCTTACTGTCTAAATCTGCACTAATAATGTCATTATAATTACAAATTTATAATCCTGCTCAGCTCTGGTTTTTGAGTCTGTTGTGAATAATGACACAAATTGCAAATACCTTAAAGGGAAGCACGATGATCCTTCTTATCAATAAGAATCCTTTCACAGTTGACAGCTTACCTCTTAGGTACTTGTAACTTAAAAATCCTGAAATAGACTCAATGTTTATGTCTCCTCCGATTTATATGCTGAAATCCTAATCTTTAATGTGACAGTATTGGCAAGTGGAGCATTTGGAAAATAATTAGATTATGAAGGTAGAGCCTTCATAAATAGGCTTAATGTCCTTTTAAAAGGGACCCCAGAGGGTGGCGCCTTTGGTTTAGTGAGTAGGGCACCGGCCCCATATACCGAGGGTGGCAGGTTCAAACCTGGCCTCAGTTGAACTGCAACCAAAAAATAGCTGGGCATTGTGGCGGGGTCCTGTAGTCCCAGCTACTCGGGAGGCTGAGGCAAGAGAATCACTTTAAGCCCAGGAGTTGGGAGTTTGCCGTGAGCTGTGTGATGCCACAGCACTTTACCAAGGACAATAAGGTGAGACTCTGTCTCTACAAAAAAAATTTTAAAAATTTAAAAAAAGGGACCCCAGAGAGTTCTCTTGCCACTTTAATCCTGTGAAGACATCGTGAGAACATGGTTATCTACAAATCAGGAAGCAGGCCCTTATCAGTGTTAAATCAGTGCCTTGATCTTGGATATCACAGCCTCCAGACTGTGAGAAATGCCAGTTAAGTGTTTGTTGCTTAAGCTACCCCTTCTATGGTAGTGTGTTATAGCAGCCCAAACAGACTAAGACAGCATTGTGGCATACTGGTGGTCCCCAAGACTACTCCCAGATTTGACGACTCAGAAGAAGGACGTATAGGACTCAGATGTTATACTCACAGCTATGATACATTATAGTAAAAGTAAACAGAGCAAGATTACTAAAGTCAAAAGGTGTGTTGGGTAGATTCTAGAGGATATCAGGCACCAGCTTCCAAGAGCTCTCTCCCAATGGAGTTGCACAGGACACAATCCCTCAGCAACTACCTGCAGCAACATGTGTAAAATGTTATTTGACAAGAAGCTCTCCCAAGTCAAAGAGCTCAGGTTTTTTATGGGACTAAGTCACCAAATCGTCACATGCCCAGAAGAAAAGAAGGTGGTCGTTATATTTTTTCACAAATTATGTAGACAAGTGGTTCAATATGGCTCCAGCTATATAACATACTCTTATCAGTTAATAGCATAGGGACATTAGGAGCTCAATGTCTAGGAGTTAGCCACAGGCCAGTTATATAAGCAGGCCCTTCTGAAATTGTATAATATTTGAGCAACTCAGATCTGCTGGGATAATGCTTTCCGATACACATGGCAAGTTAACCCATTGTTGACTGGCAATTTTATGCAGAAGCTATCCCATGTCACTGGCTATTATTCTGGTGACATAATGAAGAAAGCTTTTATAATATCCTACGTTACCATGTGTTTTAAGAATTGCAATAGCTGGGCAGCGCCTGTGGCTCAAGGAGTAGGGCGCCGGACCCATATACCAGGGGTGGCGGGTTCAAGCCCAGCCCTAGGCCAAAACTGCAAAAAAAAAAAAAAAAAGAATTGCAATAGCTAATGTAAGCGTAAACACAAAGTTAACTCATGATCATGATCTGTCAACGAAGTCTGGGCAGCATGAAAATATAAGTTAACTCATGACCTGTCAGCAATGTGTTAAGACATACAACTTAGGGTATAAAAATCAGATAAACCACTTATGGACACAGCCCACATATTGTGCAAATGGAGAATACAATGATTAAGTTTTAGGAACATTAATGTCTCTTGCTTAGACTTAAAATATCTATTAGCACATTAAAGGTTCTGAAAATCCTGTTTTAAAAACAACCCTATTAGCCCGCGCGGTGGCTCACACCTATAATCCCAGCACTGTGGGAGGCTGAGGAGGGAGAATTGCTGGCGCTCAGGAGTTCAAGACTCGCCTGAACAAAAGTGAGATCTCGACTGATGAAAAAAATGGAAAAACCCAGCTGGGCGCGGTGGCAAGCGCCTGTAATCCCAGTGGCTTCTGGAGGCTGAGGCAGCGGGATGCCCACAAGCCAGGAGTCTGAGGTTGCAGTGAGCTACTAAGCCACTGCACTCTGCTCTGGGGCATAGGGTGGGACTCTGTTTCGACCCCCCCCAAAAAAAAAAAAACCGGAAAGAAATAAAAAATAAGCAAGGAAATAAAACAAAACAAACAAACAAACAAAAAAACCCCCAACCCTATTAAATTTGAAAACCCAGCCATTTACCAAATCATCTTTACTAGGAACAATTTTAGAGGGGAACATTTATTAACATCTGATTGAACACGGTTAGGGAAACCCTAGAATACAAAAACTTTGCTTAATGTTCTTAAGGGGGAGGTGGCCTATCAGGATAAACAAATTTTAAGTACATTAGTACCATCTTAGTCATAATACAGGTAATCCTAAATATGTCTGGAAATCCTTTTATGATTTTTTTTCAATTAACATGAATAAATTGGCTCTACAACGAAATCAATAATAAAGAACATGTAAGGATCTAATCAGTGAGGAGGCAAAACCTGATTATATGATCAAATTCAGTAAATCCACTGACTTTTGATTTTAGAAAAGGTACTGTTTCTGTTTCAAATACTCAAGAATAGCCCATTTCATCAAAGTTTTCAGCCCAAAGGACCGTCTTAATTGTTTCAGGAAAAGAACCAGTTAAGCAAAAATCAGATTTCAAGAACTATATAGCAGAACTGGCAAAAGTCACACAAGAAACAAGTTATAACTTAAATATAGTTCTTTGGCACAGTTCACGTATCTGGTAATAAGTGTTCTTGCTGTTTCCTTTGTTATTGGCTACTACAGAAGCCCATTCTGGGTCACTGAAGACAACCACATGTCTCATAATAAAAATTGGGCTAGAAAGTAGAAATAAAGTTTGAAGAGAAAGAGGAAAACAGACGGTTATGAGTACTAAATCTTATCTTCCTCAGTTCAATCTTATTTTTTTCCCTTCCATTGATAAGCACCTTCAAAATCATCCCCATTCTCACCATTCTTAGACCTTGAACTATCCAACCTAAATGTTCCATTCATCTTTCTGTTTCCCTCCATTCTAGGATTGCTATTTCTAGCTATGCTTCAGAACTTTTACTACTTATGAGCTTCAGTGTCATCAGAAAGCAGGCAAGGAAAAGAAGTGAAAATTTCATAAGCAATTCAGTGTAAATTATAAATTGTTTGTGTCAGTTAGAACAATTTTGTTTTGTGTCCAGAAGAAATCTAACCAATGTTCTAAGATATACACCTGTATCTTTTCACAAGACAACATGAATAAATGAGAACTGCTTAATCTCACCTGATGCTTCATGTAGTGATTCATGTAGGGGGTTGCCATTTTACTAACTTTGAGGCAAAACGGACATAGCAAGTTCTTAGTGTTTTCATGGGATGCTCTAAAATGAGCTTCTACATCAGAAAACGTTGAGGCTCTAAACTGGCAAACCTAGAAATATAAAGAAGGCTTAGTTTAAATTGAAATTTTATAACTTATATGCAATCATATCAAAGTAGCAGTGACAGGTCATTTGTTTAGAAGAACATTATATACTACTAGTTCAAGCTCTGCTTTCTATACAATCAAGAATCCTATTACTGCAAGTAATAATCTTTGAAATAAAAATGTTACCTTTCAAAGTTTCTGTATATATTCCAAAATATAGCTAGACATTCTTCTCTTCAGATCTACCACTCACTATTTTGATATAAAATTTTAAGATGACATCTCTTGTTCTATAAAGCTTTTCCTGCTCTACTCTCTTCCTTAGATTTTTTATTTTTGAGACAGAGTCTCACTATATTGCCCTCAGTAGAGTGCCATGGTGTCATAGCTCACAGCAACCTCAAACTCTTGGGCTTAAGCGATTTTCTTGCCTCAGCTAACTGAGTAGCTGGGACTACAGGCACAACACCCAGCTTTTTTTTGTTGTTGTTGTTCTCATTTTTGTTTAGCAGGCCCAGGCCCAGTTCAAACCTGCTAGCCTTGGTGTATGTGGCCAGAACTCTAGCCACTGAGCTACAGGCACTGAGCCCTATATTCTTTCTGATATGATATAAGCCCCTTTATCTTTCTTCAGCAGGGCATATAGTTTAGTGCAGGGGTCAGCAAACTAGGGCCTGTAGGCAAAATCTAATCCACTTCCTTATATACAATATGCATGAGTTAAACCAAAGAAGTTTCTACTAATGAAGACAGTCTTCAATTTCAGTATAGTAATTAATTTTGTTTAAATGGCTAAAAAAAAAATCAAAAGATAATACTATTTAATGGCATGTGAAAATTAAACAAACACCCAAGTACACAATAAAATGTGTGTGTACCTGGCAAATATATGGCATTTCACCGGGTTTATGAGTGTCCTTCATATGTTGTAAGAGAATATGCTCTGTATCAAATGATAATTCACAGATTTTGCAAATAGCTGAAAGTGAAAAAAAACATATTATAGCACTTTGAGTAAGTAAATAAAAAAGATTCTCTTTTGTACATCCAAAACAATGACAACTACTAATGATAGTAAGAGCAGCAACAGCAACAGTGATGGTCATACTACCAATTCTATAGCTGTTAACTCTTGACTATTTTTCTAAGGATATTACATCAGTTTATTTAATTCTCCTAAGACCACTGAGGAAGTGTTATTTTTATCCCTGTTTTTCAGATGAGGAATCAGAAGTACAGAAAAATTAAGTGACTTGCTTGAGTTCTTGCAGCTGTATTAAGAGGCAAAGCTGGGATCTGAACCCAAGTTGTCCACCTCCAGAGTCTGTGAATTTTAACTACCACTGTAGTTACTTTTTGTATTTAAGTGTACACCAAGGCCACTGACTTCAAATCTGAAAACCATGTAGTCTACTCTGAGTGTTCTAATTTAGTCACCTTTGCACAATGCATGAATTATGCCAAGGAAATTTTCAGTAAAGTATTATTTACAAGGGGAACTTTAATTTTAACAACACATTTTTTCTTTTATGTTTCTTTTAGAGATAGAATCTCACTATGTTGTCCAGGATGGAGTACAGTAGCTATTTAAAGTCATGATCACAATATACTATAGCCCCTGAACTGGGCTTAAGCTATCCTCCTGCACACTATAGGCATGTGCCATCATGCTTGGCTTTAGTAACAAATTGTATTTAAGTTTATAAAAGTTATAACTTATTTTTCCATTTTCCCTTCAAATTAAAAAGTCTATTTTTTTTTTTTTTGAGACAGAGCCTCAAGCTGTACCCCTGGGTAGAGTGCCGTGGCATTACAGCTCACAGCAACCTCCAACTCCTGGGCTCAAGCGAGTCTCCTGCCTCCGCCTCCCAAGTAGCTGGGACCACAGACGCCCGCCACAACGCCTGGCTTTTTTTTGGTTGCAGCCATCATTGTTGTTTGGCGGGTCCGGGCTGGGGATTCGAACCCGCCACCTTAGGTGTACGTGGCTGGCACCTTAGCCGCTTGAGCTATAGGCGCCGAGCCAAGTCTATTTTTTATTCTTATTTTTCTGTCAGAATGTTTGAGGGTTCCTCACAGTTCAGATAATCAAAACCAGTAATATACAGGACTTCAATGAAACTGTTACTTACTAGAAAACTCATGGGGTGTGTGTGTACTCTCAATGTGGCATTGCAGCTGGAAAGGTGTAGGATACTGCCGGTAGCAGTGCTGGCAGGTGGTATGGTTTCCCCAGATCTCACTGTTCTGTTTCTCAAGTTCCAAATGGTGTTTCAGATGGTTCATAAACCTACAGATGATTGTCAATAGGTGCAAAAATTCAGATTTATAACTATAGAAAAAAATCTCACAAATATTAGAACCTAAATTTTAAAAACGTAGTTGTAAGACTCAATATCTCTCTAAGGCTTGAAACCCCTCTAGAAAAATGTGCACTTTAAATAATTTACTTTTATTAAGTAAACATTTTTATTTCATTTTTGTTTTTCAAATAATTCATTACTATATTATTAATGTAGTCAGTATAAAATTATCACTAATCTGCTGTAATTCTTCTTCATCATTTGAGATTTAACAAATTCTTTTGGCAAAGAAAATTAGCAGTATTCTTCTCCGTACATGAAATACTATTTACATTTTAAAAACAAATACCTAAAGGAAAGGATTCTACCGTCAAAAGCAGCTATAGTCATAAGAGAAATCCTTTGACGGCCTTGAAGATATAATAGGTTTCAGCTGCTTCAAAGATAAATTACTGGCATTTTTATTTGTGTCTTGGTTTCCATATGCATTCAATAGCAATTTTAATGCTTATAATTACAAAAACCCTTTATTTTATGTAATGATACTGACTTACCGTTAATACAAACTGTTCATTTTTCTGGCAACTGTGTCTTTTGTAGTACCATCCATTTTTCAGTTTTACATTCTGCTATTTCATCTTTTCTAAAAGGCTTTTTATGAGAAGCTTAAATAGCAGAGAGTACAATATAAAGGGGGACAACTATTTCAAAAAGCTTACTGAAAGCTTTTTGCTGAATTTCAAAGTAAAAGTATTCAATTAAAACATCAATTTTTTTTAATCGGACAAAAGCCTGATAACTAGGATCTACAGAGAACTCAAATTAATAAACATAAAAGAGCCAACAATCCCATCTATCACTGGGCAAGAGAGATGAATAGAACCTTCTCTAAAGAAGACAGATGAATAGCTAATACATGAAAAAATGCTCAGCATCCCTAATTATTAGAGAAATGCAAATCAAAACCAGCCTGAGATATCATCTAACCCCAGTGAGAATGGCCCACATCACAAAGTCTCAAAACTTCAGATACTGGCGTGGATGTGGAGAGAAGAAACCCTTTTACACTGCTGGTGGGACTGTAAACTAATACAAGCTTTCTGGAAGGCAGTATGGAGAACCCTCAAAGAACTCAAACTAGACCTCCCATATGATCCTGTAATCCCATTGCTGGGCCTCTACCCAGAAGGAAAAAAATCCTTTTACCAGAGGCACACTTGCACTAGACTGTTTATCGCAGCTCAATTTACAATCACCAAAATGTGGAAACAGCCTAAATGCCCACTAACCTAGGAATGGATTAACAAGCTGTGGTATACCATGGAATACTACTCAGCCACTAAAAAAGATGGAGACTTTATATCTTTTTTATTAACCGGGATGGATGTGGAACACATTATTCTTAGTAAAGCAGCACAAGAATGGAGAAGCATGAATCCTATGTATTCAATTCTGATACAAGGACAATTAATGTCCTAGTACATGGTGGTGGTGGGGGACACAGGGTATGGTGTATCTTTGGGGGGGCCGGATACAATTATAAGAGGATCCTTATCTAACAAATGAACAAATGCAATAAATGTAACCTGGTTCTGTGTACCCTCAATGAATCCCCAACAATAAAAATAAATAAATAAATAAATAAATAAATAAAATAGCAATTTTAAGACCGGGTCAACTATTTACAATTATTCACTATGAATACCTAAAGAAAACAGTTTTAAAATGAAGTGACAATGTCATCTACCTAGATAGTAATCATGAATTTTTTTTTTTTTTTGGAGACAGTCTCAAGCTATTGCCCTGGGTAGAGTGATATGGTGTCATAGCTCACAGTAAGCTTCAACTCTTGAGCTCAAGAGATCCTCTTGCCTCGGTTTTTTTTTCTTTTTGGAGACCGATCCTCAAGTTGTCCTCGTGGGTAGAGTGCCGTGGCATCACAGCGCACAGCAACCTCCAACTCCTGGGCTCAAGTGAGTCTCCTGCCTCAGCCTCCCAAGTATCTGGGACCACAGGCGCCCGCCACAACACCCAGCCACTTTTTTTTTGGTTGCAGCCGTCATTGTTCCTTGACGGGCCGGGCTGGATTCAAATTCACCACCTTAGGTGTATGTGGCTGGCGCCCTAGCCACTTGAGTCACAGGTGCTGAGCCTTGCCTCAGTTTTAAAAATAGATTTTAGTAGAGATGGGTCTTCCTTTTGCTCAGGCTGGTCTTTAATTCGGGAGCTGAAGCAATCCACCTGTCACAGCCTCCCAGAGTGCTAGGATTACAGGTGTGAGCCACCACACCCAGCCAATCATGAAGGTTTTAACATATTTCTTTTTCAGGGCCAGGCATGGTGGTTCATGCCTATAATCCCAGCACTCTGGGAGGACAAAGCAGGTGGATTGCCTAAGCTCAGGAGTACAAGACCAGCCTGAGCCAGAGCAAGACCCCCTCTCTAAAAATAGCTGGGCATTGTGGCAGGCACCTGTAGTCCCAGCTACTTGGGAGGCTGAAGCAAGAGAATCGCTTACACCCAAGAGTTTGAGGTTGCTGTGAGCTGTGATGCCCAGCACTCTACTGAGGGCAACAAAGTGAGACTGTCTCAACCCCCCCTAAAATATCTCTTTTTCAGACCTCTAAAACATTCTTTAGAGGCTCAGCACTCATAAGCACAGTTGTTATGGGGCCAGCCACATGCACCGAGGGTGCCAGGTTTAAACCCACCTGGGCAAGTTAAAAAACACTGACAACTGCAGTGGAAAAATGGCCGGGTATTGTGGTGGGTGCCTATAGTCCCAGCTACTTGGGAGCCTGAGAGGCAAGAGAACTGCTTAAGCCAAAGAGTTAGAGGTTGCTATGAGCTGTGATGCTACAGTACCAAGGGTGACATAGTGAGACTCTGTCAAAAAAAAAAAAAAAAAAAGGATGGTGCCTGTGGCTCAAAGGAGTAGGGCACCAGCCCCATATGCCGGAAGTGGCGGGTTCAAACCCAGCCCCGGCCAAAAACTGCAAAAAAAAAAAAAAAAGTAATTTTCCCCTAAGTTAAAAATACATTTTTCTCCTCACTTAAGATATGACAAAAATACAACAAGACGTATCCAGCAATCAAAGTTCTAAAATCCAAGAAAGTACAAAAGCTTTTCAATGTGATAACTTGCCATTGTTCTTAGCAGAAAGTGTAAAACTGTTTAACTAGGAAGGCACAAAAAAAATAAAGATACAATATTCCTATTTGTATTTTAAGCAGAAATAAAAATCAGTATTTACATACCTAATATTATTTTTAAGAACTTTCAAGCAACTGAAGCATTTAAAAGTTGTGTAAGTCTTCTGTTCTTCCTCAGCAGCTCCTTCATGTTTTCCATAATAAAAGTCACTAACTAACATGATCAATTTTCCTTTCTCTGAATCAGTCTCACTTTTGTTTTCAACACTTGGAAATTCTTCTTTAATATTTCCTAAGAAGTTATTTACCATGTCTGGACAACAATCCTGAAAGAGAAAAGAATATATAAAAGCCTAATTTAAATTTTTTTTTTTTTTGAGACAGAGTCTCACCTTGTACTCTACTGAGGGCCATGGCATATAGCTTACAGCAACCTCAAACTCCTGCGCTCAAGTGATTCTCTTGCCCCAAACTCTCGAGTAGCTAGGATTACAGGTGCCTATCACAATGCTTGGCTATTTTTAGAGGTGGGGTCTTGCTCTAGCTCAGGCTGGTCTCAAATTCCTGAGCTCAGGCAATCCACCTGCCTTGGCCTCCCAGAGTGCTAGGATAGGTATTATATCTTTTAAAAATTAGATACCAAAAAAAGATTCTTCATTTACAACTGGGGCCAGATGATGTAAAACTATACTTGGCAATATATATGGGACGATATTCACCAAAATGTTGTCTTCCTTCTTTATATTTTCTAAAAATTTCAAATAATAGACATCTACTATCTTAATAATGAAATAATTTCAAAAACAAATTGAAAACCTTATGATTAGGGATGTTTATATATCTAATACCCTTTTCCTTGCAATTGTTCTCTCCAGATATTAATACAGTAGAACAGGGGTCCTCAAACTTTTTAAACAGGGGGCCAGTTCACCATCCCTCAGACCGTTGGAGGGCCAGACTGTGGGCCCCGGGACAAGTCGGCTGCTAAGCAGGACAGGCAGTGGCGGCAAAAACACCCAGTGGGCCGGATAAATGTCCTACGCAGGCTGCATGTGGCCTGCAGGCTGTAGTTTGAGGACGCCTGCAGTAGAACCTCTGTAAGGTGATCACCCGAGAGACTGCCAACATATGCAGGCAGTCAACGTAAGGAAGTAGACGTAATGTACTGATACATACATGTATTTATTTGTATAGCTTTTATTGAAGAATATGAAATCATACATAACAAAACACAGCAAAATCGTATACACAGCAATCATACAAAAACAACATTTACTGTTTTCTCATGGTTTAATCATTCTTTCTGAAAAACAAGAGAGTCAATTTTAGACTATTTCTTATATTCTTATTACAAACGTAAGGGGAGAAAGCACTCTCAATGCTGGCTACACCACTCAGCATAACTGGGCATTTTTACACAACAAAATAACTTCAAACGCATTATCAGATGTTTGATTTCCTCTTCTTTTGGAGTCTCTGCAATTTCTGTGTTATCCTCACTTGCTTTTTCTACTTCATTAGGTGCTTCATGCACTTTTACAATGCTCTGTACTTTGTTCAACTTTGCTTGGAAAATTGCTTCTCGGTCAGGTTCATGACAGATAGCCACTTCATCATCTCCTGCAATAAAACCTTCAAAATTTACTCCTTTGAATTCTCACATGGGAGAGGGACTGTATGATGGGGCCAAACTCTCTTGAAACACTCTGTATGGCTGAATTTTGATGCAAAAATACTCAATAATATCTTAGCAAACAATTCAACAACACATCAAAAAATTATATACCATGATCAAATTGGCTTTATCCCAGGGTTACAAGGTTGGTTCAACATACATAAATCTACAAATATAATACATCACATAAATAAAATAAAAAACAAAGACCATATGATTCTCTCAATTGATGCAGAAAAAGCTTTTGATAATACCCAGCATCCTTTCATGATCAGAACACTTAAGAAAATAGGCTTAGCTGGGACATTACTTAAACTGACAGAGCTACCTCCATACAGCAAACCCATAGCCAATATCATATTGAATGGAGTAAAATTGAAAACATTTTCACTTTGATCTGGAACTACACAAGGATGCCCTTTGTCTCCACGGCTATTCAACATAGTAATGGAAGTCTTAGCCATCGCAATCAGGCAGGAGAAGGCCATCAAGAGTATCCAGATGGGGTCAGAAGAAATCAAATTGTCACTCTTCGCGGATGACATAATCTTATACCTGGAAACCCCCAGGGACTCAACCATAAAACTCTTAGAAGTGATCAAGGAATACATCAATATCTCAGGATACAAAATCAATACTTACAAATCAGTAGCTTTTATATATACTAACAATAGTCAAGCTGAAAATATAGCCAAGGACTCTATTCTTTTTACGGTAGTGCCAAAGAAGATGAAATTTCTGGGAATTTACCTAACAAAGGACATGAGCGGTCTCTATAAAATAGAGAATTATGAAACTGTGAGAAAAGCAACCTCAAACTCCTGGGCTTAAGTGATTCTTTTGCCTCAGCCTCCCAGTAGCTGGGACTATAGACACCCACCACAACGCCCAGCTATTTTCTTGTTGCAGTTGGCCCTAGTGGGTTCGAACCCACCTGTCTTGGTGTATGTGGCTGGAGCTGTAACCACTGTTCTATGGGCACTGAGCAAGATAAACTTCATTTTTAAAAATTTTATGATGGGAGGTGGAGTCTGTGACTCAAAAGGGTAGGGCGCCGGCCCCATATGCCAGAGGAGGCGGGTTCAAATCCAGCCCCGGCCCAAAAAAAAAAAAAAAATCATGACGAGGAAGGATTTTAAAATCTTGTATAAAGATCATGATTGTAAATTATCAACTTTTAGCTAAGCTACATGAAATACCAATATAACAAGGTTTTTGCATTTACTGTATGACAATCCTTAATATTTTCAAGAATTTGTAAACATTTTTAAAAACATAATTTTGAAAAAGGTTTTACCTTCATGTGGCATTTCAAAGGATCCAAAAGGTTGAACTGAACGTTGCATTTTGGACAAGTTCCTGGAAGAGGTTCTTCAGGTTTACACACAGGTGATGAGGTATTTGTACCTAAAATAAATTAAGGACTTTAAAAACTCAAATTCACCTTTGTAAAGCCTTAAACAACCATTAATAATAGTTCTAAAATTCATCCCAATTTCTGAAATTTATGTATAATAATAAAATTT